TCCCTTCTCCTCCATTCTCCTCTTGGGATCTTGGGCACATACGCACATGTGACCAGCATGAGTTTAAGCCGCTGGGTCTGGGACTCTTCAATTTTAGTCCCTGAAGGGGCAATATTTCACAGCTCAAATTCAGTGGCCATCTCCAAAATGTTCCATTTTGTCATTTGTATTTCAATGTATTAATCACAATTTTTTTTTCCAGAGAGAGACTTGTGCTATAGGGCACGTGTGCTTGCCAGAGAGAGGTAAGACTTTTATTTATTTATTTATTTTGAGAGGTTTTCGCTATAGGGCACGTGCACTCGCCAGACAGACAGAGACATAGAGACAGAAAGTGAGAAATCACCCACCGGGGGGATGGTCATGCCGCAATCCCTTCTCCTCCATTCTCCTCTTGGGATCTTGGGCACGCACGCACACGCGCCCAGCTTGAGTTTTAAGCCACCGGGTCCAGGACGTGAACCGTAGTCAACTATGTGGGAGTCCAGCGACATAGCCATTACACTAATTGCTGGTTCCCTGCTTGCCAGAGAGAAAGAGAGAGACAGAGAGACAGAAGGGAAGAAATCACCCTCGCCAGGGAGGTATTTTATTGCTTTTTCATATTTCTTAAGAAATTTCTTAAGAATCCCTTCTCCTCCATTCTCTTCTCAGAATTTTGGGACACATACACACACACATGCCCGGCATGAATTTCAGGCCTCCAGGTCCGGGACTTGAACCATGGTTGGCTATGTGGGAGTCCAGCAACGTAACCATTATGCCATCTGCTGGCCTCTGGTTATTATTATTTTTAATTCACTATAGAGCACGTGCACTTGCTGGAGAGAGATGGAGAGAGAGAGAGAGAGAGGGAAATAGAAAGCCACCCCCAGAGAGGATGACTATGGCGATCCCTTCTCCTCCATTCTCCTCTCTGGATTTTGGACATGCACGCATGCATGGGTACACGCAGTGTGTTTTTCAAACTGCCGGTCTGGAACTGAAACTGTGCAGTTGGCAACGTGGATCCTGCCACCTTCACCATCATGCCACCTGGCTGGCCCAATCAGTTATTTTTTTTACATGTTTTTTCTTTTTATTCGTGAGAGAGCATGGGAACGTACACATGAGAATAAAAGAGACCTAGAGAGAAAGGTACACATTCCGCAGGATCCCGTCACACCACAATCCCCTGTTCCCAGCCCTCTAGCCCATTGGATCCTGGGTACTCACTCACATGGCTGGCACATTTCAGACTGATCAGGGTGGGGCTTCTTCTGCACAGTGTTACTTCTGTACTATAAAGACAGCCCAGTGTGTATTGTTTTCTTTGTGTGTGTGTGTGTGTGTGTGTGTGTGTGTGTGTGTTTTGTTTTTGTTTTATAGATTTTTGTGATAGGGCACATGTGCTTGCTGGAGAGAGACAAGACAGAGAAGGAGAAAGTGAGAAATCACCTCCCATGGTGGATGGCCAACCCACAATCCCTTCTCCTCCTTCCCTTGACTTTTGGGCACACATGCACATATCCACAGCATGTTTTTCAAGCTGCCAGGGCTAGAACTCTAACCACACAGTTGGCCATATGGGATCCAGTGCCTTAGCCACCATGCCACCTGCTGGCCCAGTCCCGCTTATTTTATTTATTTATTTATTTTTGAGAGAGAGAGATTTCATATAGGATGTATGCACTAGATGAAGGAATTAGAATGGTCAAGGGACAAATAAAACGATGCTTAATTTTAGTAGTAATAAAAATAAACATTAAAAACTCATCAAATTACCAATATCATATGCTGGCAGATATGTGGGATAGAATTCAGGCACTGGGACCAGCAGTTAGCGTAATGGCTATGTCGCTGGACTCCCACGTAGTCGACCGCGGTTCATGTCCTAGACCCGGTGGCTTAAACTCATGCCGGGTGCGTGTGCGTGTGTGCCCAAGATCCTGAGAGGAGAATGGAGGAGAAGGGATTGTGGCGTGGCCATCCCCCCTGGGGGGTGATTTCTCGCTTTCTATCTCTCTGTTTCTATCTGTCTGTCTGGCGAACACACGCGCCCAATAGCAAAAACCTCTCAAAAAAAGAATTCAGGCACTGCTGGATATCGGGAAAGACATGACACATTTTTGCATAGAAAAACACATAAAAAGACATCTTGACTTTCCTGACAACCTAACGTATTAATGAGAATATAAAGTGTTTTTATTAAAAAGACTTTAGACGGGGAACCAGCAGTTGGCGTAATGGCTATGTCGCTGGACTCCCACGTAGTCGACCGCGGTTCGCGTCCCGGACCCGGTGGCTTAAAACTCACGCCAGGCATGTGTGCGTGCGTGCCCAAGATCCCGAGAGGAGAATGGAGGAGAAGGGATTGCGGCGTGACCATCCCCCCTGGGGGGTGATTTCTCGCTTTCTATCTCTATGTCTCTCTCTGTCTGTCTGGTGAGCGCACGTGCCCTATAGCGAAAACCTCTCAAAAAAAAAAAAAAAAAAAGACTTTATGGGGCCAGCAAATAGCATAGAGGTTACGTCGGTGGACTTCCATATGGCCAACCACAGTTTGGGTCCCAAATCCAGTGGTTTGAAAATCATGCTGGGCATGTGAGCGTGCATGCCCAAGATCCTGGGAGGAGAACAGAGAAAAGAAGGGAATGACATGGCCATCCTTCCTGGGGGATGATTTCTCACTTTCCTTCTCACTGTCTCTGAGTCTCTCCAGCAAGCACATGTCCCCTATGGCAACGACCTCTTTTTTTTTTTTTTTTTAAAAAAAAGACTTTAGAGGGGCCAGCAGGTGGCTTAAAGGTTAAGCTTGCTAGATGCCCATATGGCTGACTCCATGGTTTGAGTCCCAGAACTGATGGCTTACCAACCATTCTGAGTGCATGTGCATGTGTACCCAAATCCCATGGGGAGAATGGAGAAGAAGGAATTGAGGCATGGCTATCTCCCCTGCAGGGTGACTTCTCATTTTCCCTCTCTGTCTTCCTACAGTGAGAGCAAGTGCAAATAGTTAAAGCTAAAATGCTACATATATTTAGAGGCATATAAATAGTCACCTTCAAAAAGTTTGTGAAAAAGTAGTGTTATGAAACAAACTATGCCTGAGGGGCCAGCCGTTAGCGTAATGGCTATGTCGCTGGACTCCCATGTAGTCAACCGCAGTGTGAGTCCTGGACCCGGTGGCTTAAACTCACGCCAGGTGCATGTGCGTGTGTGCCCAAGATCCCGAGAGGAAAATGGAGGAGAAGGGCTTGCAGTGTGGCCATCTTCCCTGGGGGGGGTGATTTCTCACTTTCTGTCTCTCTGTCTCTCTCTGTCTTTCTGGCAAGCGCACGCACCCTATAGCAATTAAAAAAAAAACTCTCAAAAAAAATCTATGCCTGGATTTCAAAAAAAAATGTTTTTATTGATCTCAATTTTTTAAAAAATTATTCTTTACTTATTATTATAGTTAATTTGACCAGAGCAAGACACACACACAGAGAGAGAGAGAGAGTGAGAGAGAGAGTGAGAGAGAGAGAGCGCGCGCAAGCCACAAGGTCCAGGACTTGAACTGTGGTCAGTCATGTGGGAGTCCAGTGCCCTTAACTGCCATCCCACCTGCTGGTCCCTCAAAAAAAAAATTTTACACCAAAATAAACTGTACTTTAATTCCATCTTCCCATGAACTTTTCAAAGTCCCCTTGTTGTAGTTAAGAGTATTTCCATACGCAAGAGATTGATAAACTCACATTCAGAATAGAAACTGCTTCTGAGGGGAAAAGAATTAGGATCATAGAATTAATTTTAATTCTAAATGTAATACTGTTTTACTTTTTGGAAAGGTATGAAACACATTTTGCAATTACAGTATTAGAATTGTGTTTGTTTAAAATTTTTAAATAATTTTTTAAATGTACATGATAAAATGAGCATGTGAAAGTACATGCCAGGCTATGCTTTGCTAACTATCAAAGATCAGTTTATAAACACAGTTTCTTAGGGCCAATGGGTTGTGTGGAGGTTAAGGCACTGGATCCCACACAGCTGACTGAGTGGTTCAAGTATCAGACTTGTTGTCTGAAAAATCATGCTGGGTGCACTTGGGTGTGTGCCTAAAATCCTGGAGGGGAGGTGATTGTAGCGTGGAACATCTCCTTGTGGGTGGGGAGGGGCGGAATGATTTGTCACTTTCTCTTTCTCTCTATGTGTCTCTGGCAAGTACATGTACCCTACGTCAAAAACTAACAACAACAACAAAAAAAAAGGAAAAATGGTAACACAACTTCTTGAAGTGTATATTTCTTATTTGGAACAGTCCTAAAGGGATTCAAAACTACTATGGATTAGACAAACAAGCTTGTCTTCCTGGTTCACGCTCTGTGAGCTAGTGGTGTGAACTTGGTGGGACAGCTCTGCCATCCTCAACTCAAGGTTTCCATCACTAGGTTCAAATAGATGCTCTAACATCCTCCACTGTATCTACAGAATAGACAAGGCAGATCAGGAAAATGTCTAGGACAGTGTGTTTCTAAAGGCACAACATGAAATTGTCAATCATCTCTTCCTCTCACATCCCATTGAATAGAACTTTGATGCTTAGGGGCCAGCAGGTGGCGTGGTGGTTAAAAGCACTGTATTCCCGCATGGCCAACCGGGGTTTAAGTCCCAGACCTGATGGCTTCTTTTCTTACTTTTCTTCTCTCTCTTTCTTGCAAATTGGAAAATAATAATAAATAAATTTACAATAACATAATTCTTTTTTAAAAAAAACTTTGATGCTTGACTAAATCCTGTAAGGAAACAATGTAGTTCAGGCTAGGTAGCTTTGTACCCAGATTCAATTATTAAAGGGACGAACAGAAGAATGGCTAGAGCCGCACCATGACGTCTGCCATAGGATGGATGAAACAGGATCCGGTAAATGCAGCAACAGCATTGACGAATGGGAAACTTGTCTGTCTTTATCTCCCAGTCCAGACCCACAAAGAATCCCTGTTTGTCTTCTCCCCATAGTGTCCTTACCTATAGTCTACTCAGCTGTCCTTCCTTCCATATGCACCCTCCATGAGCTGGATGCACTGGGGCTGGAGATTCGAAGCTGGAATAGCCTGGACGCTGGCATCAACAGAAGAACACTATTATGATACCCATGACCAGGACCAAGATGGCGGCATACATGGTTTAATCTAAGCAGTGAGGTAGGCTTATGAGTCAGTCAGGGAAGTCTGTGAAGCCTTCTTGTTGCTGTCTTTCCAGAGACGGTAGCCCCGGAAGTGAAGCTAGGAGGTCGAACAGAGGGCTGTTTGGTAAATGAATGGGGTTCCATCCAAAGGTAATAAAACATGAAAGGATAAGAGCATGAGAAGCCAAACCTGTCCAGGAAAACGAAGAAGTCCAGCATATACATTATCCAGATAGTGAGCCTGCGGTGAAGCTGGACAAGTTAGTACAAGGTCACATCACGGAGAGTCTTTCATTCAATGCAGAAGAGTTTGGAATGTATTGTGCATTTGGAGAGGGAACTATTAACACATTTGGAACAACAAAGACACAACATGAGATTTATTGGAAAGATCCGATAGTGATGTGAGCAATGGACCAGAATAGAAGCAAAACTATTGAAAGATGGCAAAGGTAGAGGGAACAGTTCTGGGGCCGGGAAAAGATGAGCTTCCATTAGTGACTCATTGGGTGAGAGGTCCCCATAGGACACCTGACAGGGAAGGTCAGTGTATATAGTGTTGAACACATGGGTCTGGAGCTCAAGAAAGAAGTTCTAGGGACCAGCAGTTAACATAATGGCTATGTCGCTGGACTCCCATGTAGTCGACCTTGGTTCGTGTCCCAGACCCGGTGGCTTAAAACTCACACCGGGCACGTGTGCATGCGTGCCCAAGATCCTGAGAGGAGAATGGAGGAGAAGGGATTGTGGCATGGCCATTCCCCCTAGGGGGTGATTTCTCGCTTTCTGTCTCTGTCTGTTTGGCGAGCCCACACGCCCTATAGCAAAAACCTCTCAAAAAAAGAAAAGAAAAGAAAAGAAAGAAGTTCTAGCTTCCCAAGCATGCCTCTCCTACAGTTCATAGTTTCTGGCACAGATAAAATGTTTTTAAGTCCTAATCCACTTTTACACTTCCTACTTCATGAGGACTTGCCTCTCCTTGGCAGTTGGGAATCCTGGTTTCCTGCCTAACTAATTGGCCCGACATGATACAGCACTGATGACCGCTAAGTGCTGGGAATCCAAATTTAGGTGAACTCCTTACCAAGAGCGAGTCAGCCTGCAGGGAGACCTCGGAGCATGCACTGAGCAATGTGTGTGGCCCGTTCCATTCAGTCAGGACAAAGCCGAACTAGGCACCTTTCACCAATTTCCTGATGACACAAAGACAGAAGAGCCAAGTTTGTGGATGTCAGAACTAGAATTCAGAGGAAACTATGCTAAAATCAGCAAGATCAAACATAATCGAGAAACATGGGACCAGCAGATGGTGTAATGTTTGTCACTGGACTCCCACATAGTTGACCATGGTTCAAATCCTAGACCTGGTGGCTTCAAACTCATGCCAGGTGTGTGTGTGTGTGTGTGTGTGTGTGTGTGTGTGTGTGTCCAAAATTCCAAGAGAAGTATGGAGAAGGGATGCAGTGTGACCAACCCCACTAGTGGATGATTTCTTGCTTTCTGTCTATCTCTCCAGTGAGCACACATGCTCTACAGCAAAAAAATCTCTCAATTAAATAAATAAATAACATAATGTAGAAACATGTAAGAGCCTGTCAAATAAATGTGTTCAAATAAATGAATTGCAAAAGGAAATGCGTGGGGAAATCCAACTGAAACTATCTGGCATCTGGTCAACTTCATTCTTCTTAAGAGAAGCTGGAAAATTTACTCTGAGCATGAAGACCACCACTTCCTAGAGCTCATTTGGCAAAACAAACCTGAATGATTTTCCAGTGTGGTGGCTACCACTTTATCACGCAGCAGTGCAATCTTCTGTCTAAATGACTGCACTGCTCTTCAGGGACTTCCGCATCCACTCACCCTGTCTTCTCTGGACACGTGGTTACTCTTGCCTATGCAAATATCTTTCCAGAAACGTGATTTCATAATATATATTAATCTATGTATTTTAATAGCTACTAAACAAGACTAAATGCAGCTTCCAGACAATAAGCCCGTCATCCTTCGTCTTAATAGGTCTCCCCTGAGTAACGTTCCCACTGTGCACTACGCTTCTCCTTTAGGCTTGCACCACCACTGTGATTCATTATTCCAATCATTTTCTTTTCTTCCTATCAAGATTATTTTTATTTACTTATTTCTTTCTTCCATGAGAGAGAACAGAGAAAGAGACAGGCACCTTCAACAGAACCTTGATGCCAAGATCCACTCCCTAACTTCAGCCAGCCCGAGATCTTAGGCTCATGCATGTCCAGCCTACTCGGGGAGGTCTCCGGGCACGAACCGGGAACCTTCCCCTACAGGTCAGCCTCCCAGAGCGCTACATTTTAAGGCTCTGCCACTGTCTGACTCCCATTATCTCCAGAGCTGTCAGTGTTTGTAAGCTCCACGTCTGACTTCTTCACCACAGTATCTCCAGCCTCAGACAGAGCTGGCCCTAAGCGAGGCTGGAATAAATGTTTATAGAGCGAATGACTACATAAATAGAAAAAATAAACAAGACGCACCCGGGAGGAGGGATAACGTGCTTTCGGAACACAAGTTCATTTCAAACATCTTCCTTGTGTAGCTGTGACTCGGTGGGCAAACAGATTCTTTGAACCACTTTTTCACTAATTGGTCATCGTAATTGCTATTGTCCAGACGACAGCTGTTCCTAGTGGCAGGACTCACGCACTTCTAGTCATCTGCAGTCCAGGGCTCCTCTGGCAGAGAAAAGTAGCACAATAATCAATAAAGAATAATAACCTTATTGTCACACTTCCTCCTACACTACAAATCTTCCCAGTATAAAATAGAGATTACCAGGGAGGAGAATATTCAGTTCTCTACTCTCTTTTTGCTTTTCTCACATCTATATTCACTTTTCAGCTAGTTAAAAAAATATTGTTAAAATTCAAAGCAAAAGCCCTGATGCATAAGGCATGGGGGAAAATGGCTATTTGTTATACATGGGCTGATTGAGCTATGGAGAGGAGGAAGGTGGGAGGAGAGGAGGGCAGGAGGAGATTCGGGGGTGTGGGCAGAATGCGGGTGCAGCTAATCACATCATGCATGCTCTGACGTTCTGTTGCAGATTCCACAGGAAGCTAGTGATTTGGCTCTGCTGTTAGGACCAGCGACAGCAAATCAAAAATCCTCTTGCTGAACTTCGGCGGAGGATTCCGTGTCACGCATGCGCTGGTCATTTCGCTTTCGCAGTGGCCTAATTAAGGACTTTCGGTGCCCATTTGTCCTGTCAACGGTACCATTTAACATTTTTGCAAGCAATCAATCCTTCTGCCCTAATAGGAGAAAAATGTCATTTGGAAATTACTGTCAGGCAGGATTATGGAACTAATTGTCAGCAACCCCTTTGGGATTCACTTAGTAGAGACCAATCCCGGTGCTTGCCCACCTAGATCTTGGAGAAGAGAACCTCATCCCCAAAGCAAATTTCTTAATTTTCAGAAAGCCAGAAAGGTAGCTACCCCCACTATTACCAACAGATCAAACACACAGTCTCAGAAGGAAACCACTTCCTCCCCTACCAATCATGCAGTCAGTCCAGAGGAAGCCTCCTACCCTCAGGATTAACCAGCTAATTGCCAAAGCAGCCCAAACTCCAGGTCACATCCAGCCTTCAACAACTAACCCTACCTGCTACCACTCTTGCCGACTTGAAGGGCTGGCCCTGGAACCTAGTTGTTAAAGGAGCCATAGCCCACATGGCCAACCGTGGTTCAAAGCCTGGCCCCGGTGGCTTGGAAAACACACTGGAGCGAAGACCGTGGAAGCAGGGATCTGGGGTCCTGTTCTGGTGCCCCAGAGCAGACACGTCGCAGTCCCCGGGTCAGAGAGCTGGCCATGTCTGCTCTGGGGGCTCTGGTGACAGCAGGATGGCGAGAGTGCTACCAGCACAGCTGTTACTGCTAAACTGTGACCCCGAATACATGGGCTATGTAAACCTAAAAGCACTGAGTACGTACGTGTATGTGCCTAAAATCTGGAGAGGACAGAGAAATAGAGAAAGAACTGCAATATGGCTATGCCCCTCGGTGAGGGGTGGGGTTTTGCTTTCTCTCTCTGTCTCTCTTTTGCTCTCTTTCTCTCTCTCCAGTGAGTGCACACATGCTCTGGCAATTAGGAAACATTATTTTTAAAAAGGGAGAGCTTTGCTTTCTTTGTACAATCAATTTACCATATTTGTAACATTTTGTTCCAGTATGCATCTGAAAGTTTAGATCATCTTGTAACACAAATATGTGTGTGTGTGTGTGTGTGTGTGTGTGTGTGTGTATATATATATATATATTTTTTTTTTTTCCCCATTTCACAGCCAGCCTGTGACATGGTGGTTGAAGGGCCTGGGTCCCACATGGCTGACTCACAGATGGAGCCCCAGACCAGGCCAGCACCTGAGAACCATGCCAGTGTGTGTGCGTGTGTGCGTGTGTGCGTGTGTGCTCAACATCCTGAAAGGAGGGAGAGCTGGAGGAAAAGGAACTGTGCTGTGAGCATTCCCCAGCAGGATGCTCTCACATTTCTCCCTTTCTCGTGGTCTGCCTGTCTCTATCTGGTGAGCACATGTGCCCTCTGGCAACATTTTTTTTAAAATTCATTTCACATCTGGATTATTTTAATTCTTAGTCTGTGAGAAAACAAAATCTTCAATATACTTGCAATAAAGAACTAATTTTTCAGCTTCAAAAACTTTTTGTTGGGCCAGCAGATGGCATGGAGGTTAAAGCGGCTGGAGCCCACCTGGCCGACTATATGGATCAAGTCCTGGACCCAGCAGCTTGAAAGACAGGTTAGGCGTGTGTCTGTGTGCATTGCCAAAACCCAAACAGGAAAATGGAGAAGGGACTGCAGTCTGGCCATCCCCCTACGGGTGCTTTCTCCCTCTCTTTTTATCTCTCTTTCCAGCATCCCAAACACACGCATCTTACTGCAGACATTAGAAAAAAAAAAAAAATTCCTCTTCCTCCTTTTTTTCTTAACTTTTTTCAAGTAAGTTGTTCTTTTCAAAAAAAAAAAAAAACAAACTATGGAGCCAGCAAGTAGCATGGTGATTAAGGGACTAGATTACCATATAACCAATCGCTATTCAAGTCCCAGACCTGGTGGCTTGAAAAATCACACTGGGCACATGTACATATGCGCCCAAAATCCTGAGAGGAGAATGAAAGAGAAAGGATTGCGGCATGGCCATCCCCCGTTGGGTGTAAAGTGATTTCTCACTTTCCTTATCTCTGTCTCAGCTTTAGTGAATGCGTGCACCCTAGGCAAAAACTAACTCACTCAATGAATGAACGAACGAATGAATGAATGAATGAAGGGTCTATGTTCCCAAGCGGGAAGAGTGTTCCCAAGCAGGCAGCAGGTCAACTCTGAGGACTGTAGGGCAGAGTACCCGGCTGCTTCACAAGGCCAGATTTGCAACTCCAGAGTCTCTTGAGAGATCAAAGAAATGTGAGCCTGATTTTTCTACAGAAACACATCAGGGAGTAATGTCCGACAGCTTTTAAGAGGTTTTTGCCATAGGGCATGTGCACTCTCCAGAGAGAGACAGACAGGCAGAGATAGTGAGAGGGAAAATAAGAAAGTTTCCGAAGATTCCGACGACCACTCAAAAATAAAGCACCCTACCCACAACCTAGAACTGGAGACTTTTTCTCCTAAAAGAAACAATCGCTTGAACATTTAAAATCACCCAGCACACATTAGCTTGGATGTGCCGAGGAAGATGTGGCTTTTTGAGGAAGATGTGGACGCAGGTGCAGTGGAGCTCCGGTCGGCCCACTCCAGCTCCTGACGCACCCGTTTGCTCTCACCGAGGAACAAGCAAATCAGGAAGCCCTGCTGTGGCCATGGCTTTGAAAGATACTGGGGAAATACCTGCAGAGCCGGAGGTGGCCATCCACCCAATCCGAATTACTTTAACCAGACCCAAGGCCAAGGCCCTGGAGAAATCGGGTGCCGACTGGATCAGAGGTCTGAAGGAAAAGAATCTCAAAGTGAAAGGACCAGGACGGACGCCCACCAAGACTTCGAGAATCACTACTAGAAGGATCCCTTGTGAAGGTTCTAAGACGAGGGCTCATTTCCGGAGGAGAGTCCACAAGTGACTCAGGGGCCTGCACAGTGCTTCTGAGATTGTTGAACAGGTCACTCCCATCATGGAACCAGGAGCTGAGGGCGAAGCCACCCCGGCAGACGCCTGAGTCACCTCTTTTCATCAGGTGATTATCTCAGCTGGTATAAAAGATGTTGCCACAGGTACAGCCTCAGGGGCACAACAGATACCATGCTGAACTGTAGCACTAGAAGCCACACGGCCGACCACGGGTTCATATCCCCAGCCTGGTCCACTTGGAACACTCTGAGCATGAGCGTGTGCCCCAAATCCTGATGTACTGGAGGGCTGAGGGGAGGGGATCGCACACGACAGAGTGTCGAGGGTGCCTCTCTCTCTCTCTGCCTCTTTTCCTCTCACACGTGAGAGAATTTATTTCTATCATTAATAAAATAATTTTTAAAAGAAAAAAAGGATGTTTGGGGCTGGGAGGTGGCGTGGTGGTTAAAGGTGCTGGACTCCCACATGGCTGATCTTGGTTCGAGTCCTGGACCTGGCAGCTTGCTTTCTCACTTTCTCTGTCACTCTCTCCCTCATTCTATCCCTCTATGGTCAAATAAAAATAAATAAACAAATGGATAAAGATAAATAAAATAATTAAAATTCAAAAAAATATTTTAAAAAGATGTTTGGATAGGTATATCTCAATGTTTGCCCACTCTGTGTAAACAACCATTCTGAAGGAAAAAAAAAAAATGAAGAGAAACACTGACCAAACTCATTGTCCGACAGCATTTTTTATTATTTTTTGGAGAGGTTTTTGCTATAGGGCATGTGCGCTCGCCAGACAGACAGAGAGAGACATAGAGACAGAAAGCGAGAAATCACTCCCCAGGGGGGATGGCCACGCCACAATCCTTTCTCCTCCATTCTCCTCTCGGGATCTTGGGCACGCACGCACACGCACCCGGCGTGAGTTTTAAGCCACCGAGGCCAGGACGCGAACTGCGGTTGACTGCATGGTAGTCCAACTACATAGCCATTACGCTAACTGCTGTTTCCCCCAACAGCTTTTAAGAGGTTTTTACCATAAGGCACATGCACACTCCGGAGAGAAACAGACAGAGAGAGACAGTGAGAGGGAAAACGAGAAATCACCCCTCTGGAGGAATGGCCACGCCACAGTCCCATCTCCATTCTCCTCCTGGGATCTTGGACACACACACATGCACCTGGCCTGATTTTCAAGTCACCAGATTCAGGACTCAAATCGCGGTTGCCATATAGGAGTCCTAGGATGTAACCACTAAGCCATCTGCCGTCCCTCCCCTTGTCTAGCAGCTTTAAAAGCAGGGTTTTCCAGGCCAACAGATGGCATGGGGGGAAAAGTGCTGGATCACACACAGCTGACTGCTGTTCTAGTCCTGGACCCAGCAAAATCATGTCGGGCACATGTACATGCATCTCAAAGGTCCTAAGGAAAGAACGGAGGAAAAGGAATTGTGGGCTGGCTCTCCTCCCTGGAGGTTTATTTCTCACTTTTTTTCTCTCTTAGTCTCTCTCTTTGGCAAGTGTACGTGCCCTATAGGCAAAACCTTAAAAAAAAAAAAGTTGGGACCAGCAGTTGGCATAA